AAAGAAAACATTCTCGCATTTTGAATGAAAACTACTCGGTTTTTGATAAACATAGACTCTATGGTCACTTCTCAAGTACTTGCTTTTCGGCATCAGATTTACACAAGTATACTGCAATAATACTTGTGATGGTGTCCTAACTGCGTTCAGATAAACATCATCTATATCGACAATGTCAGTCGCTAGAGAAATATATGGAAAAAAATTATAATTTTAAATTTCAGTCAGTTAAAGCATTTCGTGACGATCAGAGATGATAAAATATGAAAAAGTTAACCAATTTATATTGTTGCTTATGCTAATTTACTTACAAAACTGTGTATAATCGATGATAAGTTGAAAACATCTATATTTGGACTTAATTTATCAATAAATTGTGAATTTAAGGAAAAATAATTTCCTTGTGTATTATACTTCTCATTGAATATATCAACAGAAAGTTTACTAATATTTGGCGTTAAATAAGATTGTAATTGAGAATTATAACGTACAGGAAAAACACTAAATCCTTATATATAACTGAACTTTAAATATAATTCACTAACTTTGCAATCTTCGACAACACTAAAATTTTGTGGATCTGAAATAGTCGCAATGGTATTTAATTCCTTTGCACAATTGACTTTATAAATATTATTATTGACTGATATTTGTCTCTATTGACATTCTTTTGTTTTACCTGGATGTTTGTACTTTTTCCTCTGTTTATCGAAAAACAACGTATCTGTCTATCACATTTTTACTACACTTCACTTAAACCAATCATGTTTTGCCTGCAATGGCCAGATACCTTCTTTGCGTTTGTATTTGATGAAGTATCCTTAGAGGATAGACGTGGTCTCTATTGGGACAGATATTTAGCAGCGCTATCAGGTTGTATCGATGGCTACTTAAACAGACTAACTTAAATGTGTACAGAGAGGCTTGGCGTAATGGGGAGAATTCTACCAAAGGCATGTTTAGATCAAAAAGATTTGTGGAGCATATATCGGTGCTAGAAAAATGTATAAAGTAGTGTGCCAGTACTTTCTCTCGTTGTTCGATCTTAGAGTACGACTTGTCTGATATACTTCTTCTTGAAAATTTTCCGGAAGTGTTTTAAACTAATGGAGGTTATATACTTATATTTTTGTACTTATTTTGTTCTTTTGTTAATTGAAAGTTGAAATTCTTTGTTGTAAATTTACACTACGTAGTTTTTTGTCCTTAATATTATTTTTCTTTTTTGGGAATGTGTGCCCTAGTCTTCTTGCCTTTTTCAATAAGTTTGTACTGTTAGGAGTCATCAGCTATTTGCAAAAAAAGAAAAAGGATGGATGGAAATAGAGGCATCAAATCTTATTCAGATTTTAATTAAGATCTTACCAGGACATTAAAAGTAGGACTATACACGATTTTAGTAAGATAGTGCTACGAAATACCTTTGAACACTTTTAGTAGAATGAGTTCTTTTTAGTGCACACTGCATAGTGTAGTGTATAAGCAAGCTCTCACTCATATCTCATGTATAAGATCGCCTCGTTTCCGAATCAAATGAATGGCATATCAGTTTATTTGTACTCTCTATAGAAAGCAAGATTTTTTCAAAACAGCTAAGAAAAAGAATAATATTCTGGAACCAATAACTATTGTTAAGCCGTTATTCGGTAAAGCAAACCAATTTGAGTTTTTAAGGTATGAACAAAATGTATTTCACAACAAGAATTAAAAGTTTTTTCCTCTCTCATATTGCGAGTTATAGTCAAAGGATTTTTCGAAAACAAAACATTCTAACACATTTTTTTAACTTCTAGTTTTTTGAAAACTAATATCGGTGGTAGGAAGCATTTAATCAATGGTTACTGGTTCTAAAATATTATTTTAGGTTTTTTGAAAACCCTTTTTACTGAATGTACTCTAATGAACAGCACGCTCTTAATACAGCAGTTTTCTGTCTGAGTTGATAAGTATGCTTTTTTGCGAACGATTCTTTCCATCGTGTAGAAAGGAAACAGTTGATTGTATTCGGAGAAAAAAAGAGAATGTTTTTTGGACTGGAAATATTTATGAAACTGAATTGAGTGCGCGAAAATAGATCGTGCTAGTTTCTAAATTGTGTAACTCTCAACTCGTGTTTTTAGCGAGTTCATACTATCCCTCAAAACCATGTAGTTGCTGAAGGATTCATTCTACTTTTATTTATCATGTGGACTAATTGTTCATCTTCTCTAGTACGCCATGTGGATATCAGCAACAGCACTTTTTAAAAATTTCTAATGTTATTAATGAAGTTCGTTAAATAAGTGTGAAACATTTAGAAATTTCTCCTGTACTAAACTGGAGAACAAATCACCTGTTTCGTGCCGATCACATAAATATCGAAGGATGAAATATGATAAAATTTTTCAACCAATAGGCATGCATATACGAGTCAAAGATAAGGTTAAATTAGCGATATTCAATATCAAAAAGTCGTTAAAGTGATAGTTCTTCTTACTTAGTTAGATACAAAATAGAACACAAAACCTGACTCCTGTCTATCAAAATAGCTATACTGTATCTATTCATTATCGGATCAATGTTGGTGTGATTTTTCAAATAAGTGACGGCGGTAGAGAGAAAAAAAAGCAATTAATGATCTTATCTGACTAATCAAAAATATTGTGTAGCATATCTGTCGATTCTTTCAACATGTTGATTAGTTAAACATAAAATTTTCGATTTAATTTGAACGCATTTGTAGAAGTCGATCACAGACGCATTCTCATTATTTTCTGATAATCTCAAGAAAATCTTCTACTCTCATGTTGAACATGAATTTTGCCTCATCCAAAATGCCTTCTGAAAATGTTACGTTCATTCTTCAGGTAACAAGAGAAAATACCCGTTTTTTTTACTTTTTAGTGGGAACCATACAAGCTTTGGATTAGTTCTTTTCATTAATTAAATGAACTACTATTGATCAAGTCATTCATTGCATTGGCTCTAAATCTGCGCATACAAGTTTTAAAATTAGCTGATACATGTGTATATATGCCTATTATATCTGATGGCTCACACATATTTAAATTTCGTTGTTTGTCTTGCGTTTTTGGACAATCGCTAATCAACCAAAGAACGGTAGTTGTGTTATCTTTTCGCTTTTTTAAATTAACAGCAGCCATGATTAAATCCAAATTTATTGAATTAGAAATTTCGTGTCCTCTCGATTCGTCCCTAATTGGTCTCTCTCAATTCGTCCCATTTTTTAAATACTTATTCTGTGTAAGTTCTCTTTGTGTTCTTCAAAATAACAAGGGTTTCGTCCATGTTGGTCAAAATAAAATAAATAACAATATGTACGAAAACGTGTCTCATCATTTTCAAAGAAAACTATACAACATTATTGTACTTACACATGACGCATTAATTGATAATGTTTCATGTTTAAAATACAGTTTAAAAAATTTCTAATCAAATTATTGTCTATTGATCGTTTCAATGTTAACTTTACTGGAGTATATGAAATTCTTCTTTCTTTAATTTTCTTACGCCTATGCTAGTCTATACATGTGTTTAATCTACCTCAGATTTTCGAACAAATGTAAGACCCATGATTACACAAATGGTAGTTACCAGAGACCGAAACGGGTCTTAGCTGGATGACCCAAATAGTAGGAAAAGTTTTCTTAGGTGTCCTAATATTAATATTAATCCGAAACAGAAAACAACAACAAGAACAAAACAATGCTGTATACGAACGAAAATTACTAAACACGTTTTTCTATATATTTTTCTTTTTTTTCTTTGCTTCGACAGTGCGAGACTGTACATTATATAGCGTCATAGCAGGGAGGAAAACAACACTGTAATTCCTTTTTAGATAAAAAAAGACACATATTTGAGAATAGATGAGTGAACCGTAACCAAAAGAAAATCTCCTGATTTGTTTTCTAGCAGCAAGGCCCGAATAAAACCCGAAACTTTTTTCCTTTGACTCGACCCGAATCAATATTTTTTACGTTAATCAGAACCCACCCCGCTTTAGTCTCTGGTAGTTACTATTGATTAGTGTATAGCTAAAAATGCTTGTCGTTAGGCACAGTCTTAATTTCTCATCGATGTCCGTACAGTGTGTGGATCTCTGCTGGGGATTGATTCGCCGGTTCTTAAAGTTACAGTGCTGGTTACGCTAGTACTACGTATTGTTGAACTGTTAAGTAAATCTTTTTCTTCAGATGCATATATCTCTGCACTTTGATGTCATAAGAATTTTTTGGTAAAATACATTCTTGTCATTGATTAGAAAACGTAGGATTATAACAACAGATAAGTTGGCTCTAATCCAGTAATCCTCACGTAGTAACTGAATTTTTATTTTTATTTTTCCACATAAATTCGTTATATGAGTTTTTTATCCGAAAAAAGAGTCGTTAATAAAAGATTCTAACAAACAGTAAAACATACAAAACAGAAACATAAAGAGAAAGAGAGAAAGACACAAATACAGAAAGTGAGTAACAATCTAGAGAAAAAAGGCAGAGATAAAAACGATGTTTTTTGCGACATTTCAAATGTTCCTCGTCAAAATAAAATAACTTCAAGTGAATAACAGAAAAATAAACATGGAACAAGCAGTGTGTCGTAATATTTGTCGAATACAATAGCGAAAGAACTGTTAACTAAAAGAAAAGTCGCAACTAAATTGTCATTGAAAAAACTGTATACGAATGTAAAGGGAAAGAGCATTGCTTTGTTCGTCTGTTTCAAAAACCCTTATCTCAAGCAGTAAATAAAGTGTGTTCTTAGTTGACCAAAACTTAGAGAAAGTATAATTAATAGCAATATGATTACTTTTCCATTTTTCATTATGGCACACAATATTAGTAATGATTTTTTTTTCGCAATTTTCGAGTTATTACTACACACTTTGGTGATATCTATAGTTTCAATCTAACGTAAAATGTAAATTCATACCTGATACGGAGCACACACGCTCACAGTTGAATAGTTTTTAGCTTTAGATGAAAACGTACAAATTATCAAGATGCTTGTTGTGTCATTGGCATATAATATTGCGAATAATGGTTAACAGGATTATGATAATTTTGATATGGATGGAAGCCAAAAAATGCGTACGGTGAATTGGGATGTTGTGAGAAAGCACTACTAACAGAATCAGAGCCGTAATTTTGTGTACCACTAAAAACAGCTGCTTGTCCTTTCGTGGCTGCTTCTAATGAACCAAAGGGATTTGTTACAGTGGATGGTGATGTACTTAAATTACATATGGGATATAAATAACGAGCTTGTGTAGCGGCGTCATACGATGTCCAGGATGATGAGACGGGTTCAATTTTTAGACACGAACCCAAACACGTTTTCCTGTTATGTGGTGAAATTGCATTACACGATGGAGATACATAACCATTTGGACTTGAAGAATCAGAGATATTAAGATCGACTGGCTGTGATAATGGTCCAATTTTATTTCGTAATATTCGCGATATAGATGAGACAGACGGGACATTAAATTTGTCACATACATTGTCTAATAGAAGTTTTTCCCGAATTTCCCATGCAAACATACCGGGATCTTTTATTTTATAATCTCGAATTTCTGCGACCACTCTCGGTGTAGTTACACGAGGTTTACTGCCTCCAATGGCGCCCGGCAGCACTGATCCTAAATGCAAAAAATGTGAGAAAAGATGTATAAAAATATTAATGTTACTGCAGTTGTACCTGTTTCATGATATCTTGCTAGAATTTTAGAAACACATCCATGACTAACGCGTAATTGACGACTAATATCACATGGACGCACGCCTAAATTGGCCATTTCAACAATTTGCAAACGTATGGGCGTTGGTAGTGGTCTTCCGTTGACGAATAAACCACCCAATTGATTAACTTCACCATAACTTTGATTTGAGCCACCATCATTTAAAAAATCAGATGCTAAATTTGGACAAAAGTATTATTTAATATATTAGAATGTGTGAGTTTCAAAAGGAAAATTTTAGATTCAGAACTTATTAAGCAGAAGTGTACAGTTTGATATTAAAAGTATTTTACTAATTGTATACACAAAATTTATACTGATGTATATGACTACCAATTGTTAGTTTTAAATCTGTACCATCAGTTTCATTTTGTGAACGTGACTTTATTTTGCTGAAAATATTTTCTCTGTTTGATATTTATTCAACGGTGGAATCGATGCACTTTATCAAAGCACGTATGGATATGTTATACGATCTACTATCATACAGTTGGGAAATCATTACTTTTCTAAATGTGTTTTTCACACTTGTTCACGAATAAGATAATGATTATCTTTTATCAGCATCATCATTTAGCAGAATCATTTGTGAAAATGAATAATGATCACCACTTTTCTTTTATAAAGAGTGATCATATATTTAATTTTGAAAGATAAAAAAGATGGGCGATTTTAAAGCTCACATGATCACATGTAGTGTATGGCTCTTTTAGAACCAATAGATAGATCATCTTAGAAGCTGAAGATTTCTGATGCTTACAGTTTGTGCGAAATCAGTTTCTGTTGATTACTGTTATGGACCTTAATTGATTTTTGTCACAGAGTATGATTGCTTTTCTCGAATACTACTTTCACTTCCGTGTAAATATATCATGATTTATATTATTATTTATGAATTATTCGAATGTAACAAGTGAATTATGTATAGATGTCTACTGATAATGTCAATAATTTCATTCGAAGATAAATGGAAGCGGATATATACGCTCGATTAATTACTGCTATTATTACTTATTGTGAGAAATATACAAAGATCAGTTAGACCCTTTATCAATTTTTCGATTTAACCGTATTTTTCTAATATACAGTCAGATGTTTATAATGGAATTTATCCATAAACATTGACCATACGTAATTATTACACAATTATAAAACGTGTTTATTATTGAGCCAAATCACTTATTCAAAGCTATCTTTGTACTCATCGTTGAAGAGCCAAGTTAAAAATATTTAAAAGAACGTGCTGTTCATTAGAGTACATTCAGTAAAAAGGGTTTTCAAAAAACCTAAAATAATATTTTAGAACCAGTAACCATTGATTAAATGCTTCCTACCACCG